TAACAACATAACAACACAAAGTCTTTGCAATATAAGCTAACATTCATAGGTTCCAGGGATTAGGACCTAATATCTTTGGTGGGCTTTATTTAGCTTACTACATGGAGTAATCTATGTTTATATCTGAGGCAAGGGCACTCCAGGCAGAGTGAACAGCAAGTGTAAAGGTCCTGAGAATGGAGTGTGCCTACAGTATCCAGGAAAAACAAAGATGTTGATGTGTCTGGAATGTATTGATTCAAGTGGGAGATTACCAGAAAATAAGATCCAAAAGTAAAGTGGAGACTGCACATCATGTAAGATTTTCTCGGCCATTATAAGGATCTTGTTTTTGCTCTGAGAGATATGGGAGCCTTTGCAGGAGTTTTATGGGAGAAGCGACATGATTTTTTAAAATATATTTAAGAAGATGGTCCTGGTGGAAATCAAGAGAAGAGTTAAAAGACTGATAAAATAATCCAGGAAAGAGATGGTAGTAACTTGGACCAGAGGATACCAGTTAGCGGTAGAGAAAAGTGTTCATACTGCAGGTATATTTTTAAATGTAGAACTGACACTTTCCTAATGGACTGGATTTGGGTTATGAATTAAATAGTTTAGTCAAGGATGACTCCAAAATGCTTGGCCTTAGCAATCAGAAGTCTCAAGCTACCATCAACTGAAATGAAGAAGACTATGGATGGAGCAGTTTTGGGAGAAATATTTGGAATTCTGTTTTTGTCAGATTGTGTTTGAGATGCATATTTTCATTCCAGTGGAGATATTGATAGGCAGTTGGAGATATAGGTGGTGATTTCTAGTGTGGGGACTTATGTATGTGAGCAGCAAAATAAAAGTGATATTTAAAGCAATAAGACTGTGTGATATCATGAAGGAAGAAGTGGGTGTGGAAAGGTCCAGTGTCTAAGTTCTGGGATACTCCAATTTTAAATATTTGGGAAAATCAGGAAGAACTATCAAAGGAGTTTTAAAAGGTGTGGACTGTGAGGTAAATTGCAAACCAAGAGCATGTGGTGTACTGGAAGCCAAGGGAAGAAAGTGTTTCAAGGAAGAAACAGTTATCAATTGCTTCAAATGTCACTTTATAAAAATGATCGCATGACCTTATTTCAAATATCACAAACTGGGATGCAATTAACTATTGGATTTATCAATGTGAGTATGATTGGTGGCTTTTACAAGATAGATTTGATAGAGTGCTGAGTGAAAAGTCTTGATTTAAGTAGGAAGAGGGGCATTTGGAGACACTGAGTATAGACGATAATTTTGAACAATTTTTGCCTCTAAAAAATTATGAGAAAATTTAAGTACAGATGACGGAAATGGGTAGATATGGTGCTGGAAGCTTGTGAAATTTACCTATGTATTGCTTCTATGTTATTATGGAAATGGGAAGCAAGGAAGGAAAAGGAGAACATCAGGTAAAAGCAAGAATGGGGTATAAATATTGGCAGATTGAAGAGAAATGAGAGTGTGGGAAAAGATGTCTAAATGAGTGGCAGAATAACTAGATTTCAGAAGCATATTACTATTTCTGGCTAGATTTAGTGGGCTTACATGAGGCTAGTGGTCATGAATTTAATGTGAGAACAGTTACCCCATAGTTTGTGTGTGTGTGTGTGTATGTGTGTTTTCAACCACATTTTTTTTTACATGGCTGAAGGCCGGAAGTAGATTGGGCACTGAATTTAAACAAGGTTGCGATTTTATCAAAAATATCATAAGGTGAGAGAGAAGCAAAGAGTTGGATAAGAAGATAAGAAGGGGTTATGTTAATTGAAAATTCCAGTATGAGGTGTGAACAGTTGCATGACTTTGGGTATTAGAAGAGTAATCTTGAAGGAGAGCAGATGAGGGATTGAGAATGGCATGCAGGAAATTATGGATGAGTTTCAGTTATTGATGATGACAGGATCTAGGGTATGATCATGGGCATGAATGGCTGAGGTAGGTTAGAGGATCAGGTCATTGAAGCAGAGGAGATCAGTTTAAAAATACTGTAATGGAAGGATCACCCATGTGGATAATGTTGTCGGCAAGAATTTGTGAAATGGGAAAGTAGGGAGTGATAATAAATCAGGTTGTTAAATTTTCCAGGACTGAGGAAGAAAGAAATTATTGGCTTATAGATGAATGAAAGTAGCAGGGATAAATATATCAAACAAAAGACTGGATATACATATCTGGAACTAAGAAAATAAGAATGGCCTGGAGACATAAATATGTGAATTGACTGTGTTTAGGCCATAACTGAAGCAGAGAATATGGATGAAATTCTTCAGGAAGAGATTATAGAATAAAAAAGGGCCGAATCTTAAGGAATTCAAACATTAAATGGTTGGTTCAAAGAAGATGCACTTGCAAAAGCAACAAGGAAGAAAAATGAGAACACTGTCCTGAAGTTAAAGTTACAGTTCTTTCAAAAGGTAGAGAATGTTCAACATTGCATAACACTTCTAAGGAGACAGGTAAGAAAAAAAAGTTGGACAATATCCATTGAATTTAGTAACTTGGAGGTCACTAGTGGTATTAGTAAAAGCTATTTTGGAGCTAGCACAGTTTCAGAAGTTATTATAGTAGAAAGAAGAATCAGTACTAATTGAGACTATTTATTGTGTTAGTGAGTAAAAACAACAGTTTGGAGAAAATTTTCTCTTAAGAGAAGTAAATAGAAAGTTGATAAAATCAAAAGCAAGGTTCAATTATAATTAGTTTAATAGTAGAGAGTTGAGCATACTTAAAAGGCAATAAAATTCAGTTAAGAGAGTTGGGACAAAGTGAAAAGAAATGGGAGGCTGGAGACGATGTGAGTCAAAGTGCTGGGTTGGTGGAGGGACTAGTTTTAGAAGGAGAAACAGCTCCTTTATTATAACAGGAGAGAAGAGTAGAAAGAACATAGGTGTAGGCTGACATAAGTTTGGTAAACGAAAAATGTGGCAGTTCACATCCAATGTTTTTGTAAAATAGGAGAAATCCTCTGGAAAGAGCAAGTGGGATAGAAAGGATAACACAGAGGTTGGGAGAGGTTTGCAATAGTGGTTATGGGACAGATAAGAAGTAGCACTGCAGGACAAGATTGAGGACTCATCTGAGATTGGTGACTATGAATTCCTACCATAACCAGATTACCTGATTGAAGACTTTTTTCAGCAACCCTGGATTGCTCAAGTGGAGGGATAGAGAAAGAGGATAAGTGGGCTTATTTTTCAGGGCTTTGGTTTAGCAATATGAGTTTAAAAAATGGAGGCAAAGGGATACCAACAAATTGAAGGTCGGGGTAGCAGAAAGGAAGCTATCAAAATGATATACTGTGAATATAAACTAGATAAAGAAACAAAACACTCATTGGATAGGGATAATGAGTCAATGGTCTGCATGTCCATGTGGGGTTGAAGAATGGACATAGCAAGAATAGTATACAGAGAGCTGGAAGGAGAGAAAGTAATGGATAAAAAGATCAAGGAACTGAGAGGAAATTTTATTTCATTGAAACAGGCAGGTATGTTTGTGCTCTTAAAATGGTGTAAAGGGAATCATAGAAGATGGTATGGATTTGGAAGAAGGGAGGAGTTAGCAATGAGGATTTCAGAGACACAAAAAGAATTCAGGTCTTAAAGGCTAAGGATTCATGGAAACTATAATCAAGTCTATCTCTCAGATGATTTAAAAATATTACTCCTGTTTTCTGGAACAGAATTCTCATTCTTACAACTTCAAGTGAAACAAGAGATAGAAACAGTAACTTTGTTTCTTAGAAAGAGCATCCTCACTGCAAGTCAGAAAATTTGATTCCTGGTACTTGTTTTATCACAGCCTGTCCTTCAGTAAATCATTTCCACCCTCAAGACCTCATTTCCATATCTAGGATCCTGTCTGAGGCAAATCAGATGTTCCTGTCTCTAAATACACCATCATGTTAATTTATCTCTAAATTAAAAGTTCATTTCCTGGTTTGTGGAACAGGTCCCACACCCTTAACAATGTAATTTGAATATGTTTTGTTTATTTTTCCTTTAAAACAATGTTATAAGAAGACTTTATATTTCTGACCAAATGCATAGTGACCCTTTATAAAATTGATCCACCATCATATTTCAACTATAAATCTATTTATTCAGTATACAGTGGGAAAGTTTTCATGAAAATAAACATGAATTAAGACTATTCAGACTATTCAGAAACCCCATGCATTTAATACAATCGTGTTTATTTAACAGATTCCTGGGAGAGGAGACATGGGGTTGGGATGAGAAGCAGGAGCTGTGGAATAATGTGGAAATATCTGGGAAATTACCAGGGAAGGTGGAACTACGTATACACCTTGTCTCAATCCAAAAAAAGTATATCCACGACAGCCGAGATTTGTAAGCACAGGAACGGTTCTGGGTATTGTCCTGTGTCCTTCCCTTCCTGGCTGGAGAGTGAAGGGGAGTGCAGGCCTGATGATTTCAGAGCAGACCACCTGCCGCTGAGGCAACAAGTCTCTGAGCACTCTGGCAGGGCTTCTTCTAGGATCCAGTCCCTGCAGGGTGTGTGTTTGTGTGCGTGCGCGCGAGCATGCGCAGAGCCTGCCTAAAAGGACGACTGCGATTCCCAGAGCAGGATGGAGAAAAAGAAGGAAGTAAAGAAAGGTGGGACAAAATCCATATATTACAATCCTCACTTTCATCCCTTAATGCAGAAACTCGCAACTATTAGAGACGCATTAGGGGTCTGTCAGTCGAAGGGTATGACCGTATCCTGCAAAGTGCCTCCGTCAGGCAGGAAACCTCTCATCGCTGCCCGCCACCCTTGTTGTCTCGGCCGGGCAAAGGTTTTGATAGAGAGGTTGTCACTGAGTTTTCTTACTTTATTTAAAATTAGATGGAATCTATAAAAGAAGGAAGACATAGTAAACATGCGTTAGTTCTGAAAGAAAACACAAATTTTACGTATCAGAAAGCAGAGCATCCAGTTATGCTCTCTTATACTCTAATAAAGGAAGAGCTGTTTCTTGAGATGTTTCTGTGGTGTGGTGGTCATCACGTTCGCCTAACACGCGAAAGGTCCCTGGTTGGAAACCGGCTGGAAACAGCGTGTCTTTTGTTCCACTAGACCCAAACTCAACAAGCTGAGGAAATAATTTTACGTAAAATGAGTCAGAGAAAATACAATTGTTTTATTACATTTAAATGAAGCAAAAAGATGCACATATTTACTTTAACTTTTTGTTAAGCAATTTTTTAAATATACCTTAAATTTTTAAAAAGTACAATGTATGCCCATGTGACATATCTCTAACAATTGTTAACATTTTGCATATCTGCTCCATTTATATATTTTTTCTGAAATTATTTCACAGGGAGTTACAGGCTTCATCACTCTTCACCTCGGAACACTTACTTCATCGTGTATCTTCAATACAATGAGATATGGTCAAGATAACAATTCTTTACTTATGGATACCAAAATGATCCAGAACCATGTATTGGAAAGACTGTTTCTACACATTACTCTGCCTTGGCAACTTTGCCATAAGACGGTTATGTGTGTGGAATTACTTTTGAATTCCATTCTATTTTATCTTTGTGCTCATATTATCCTATCTCTATTAATATGGCTTATGTTTTTTATGTCTAGCAGTGTAAGTACTCCAGGTTATTTTTTTCTTGTTCAGTATTGGTGCACCTATTCCATGAATTAGGTCTTTTTAATTTCCTTATGAATTTTTCAAAACATTTATGAGTTTCTGCAAAATTACCTGCTGAAATATTGATTGAGATTGTGCTAAATCTGTAGATCAGTTTGAGAGAATCCACATTTTAACAATATTGAGTCTTCCAATCAGTGAATATCAATGTGTTTTTCCATTTACTTAGGTTGCTTTTAATTTCTCTCAAAAATGTTTTATTTTCAGTAAAGGTCTTGCACATCATTTGTTAGATGCATTCCTAGGCATATGCATATATATATATTAATATTTATATTTGTATCTTGTGACCTTGCTAAATGCACTTTTTATTATAATCAATTTTTGGTAGATTCCTTTGTATTTTGTACCTATTCAAATATGTCTTTCAGGAATAATAGCATTTCTTTGTTCTTTTCCAATCATTATATCTTCTGTATTTTTTTCCATGCCTCTTTCAACTGGCAGGACCACCAATATAAATGTGGATAAAAAATGGTTGTCAGTGGGCACCATTGTTTCATATTCAATCTCGGGATGAAAGTTTCCAATATTCTACCATTAACTATGATGTTTGCTGTAGGATTTTTGCAGACAGTTTATTACCGTGGTTGTATTTTAATCAATGTTATTGAAGCATAATTTACATACAGTAAAATTGACATATTTTAAGTGTACTTTCAATAACTTTTGACAAAATCGCTATTGTAACCCTCTCCAGAGTCAATACATAGAACATATCCCTCATCCCCAACAAGTTCCATCCTGCCTCTTTTTAGTTCTGGTGGCTTAATAACATGCCCTCCTGGCTAGGCTAAACCACATTTTCCAGAATTCCTTTTTTTCTATATTTCTGGTTGGGGTAGATCACAAGGGAGATTCTTGGGAACAAAAGCTATTTTGTAACTCACACACAGTATTACTGATCTGCTGAATCATCTCCTTGGTGTGAAGCACCAGATGAGTCTACAATTGCCCTCCCTTCCCCTGAATCCTCTCTCAGCTACTCTGACTCCTGGGCCAGGTGTATGTGTTTAGTTCAATGAGGAAAGGCCCAAGATTCTTCAGGATACTCATCCCACCAACACCAGTGGTAACAAAAACTGACACGGGTTTCCATTCATCCTTGTGGGAGTTCACCTCAGGCTTGTGGGTTCTACTCTACTCCTGGTCACCTCACTTTACATCCATTTTCCCTTCCCAGAGTTGTGTCCTTGCAGACTTCAAGTTCCATTCATCAGTCCCAAAGACAACAGCCTTAGACTACTTAATTAGCTTCCACAAATATGCAAGGCCAAATCCCTGTAACAAATCATAGATAGATACATAGACAGGTAGGTAGACAGATAGGTAGGTAGGTAGGTAGACAGACAGATAGGGAGTCTCCTAGTGGCTGTATTTTTCTGATTAAGCCATAACGAATGCAGAATTTGGCCTCAAGAATGTTCTGGAATCAGTTCTCTGATCTGATTAGATTTAAAGACATTTACAATCTTGTTTCCAGTGACAAAGAGGGCACTGGTAATACAAGGAATTAAGTGACAAAACATTTATTCAAATTACTACCTTTGTTGTTAGGTGCCATTGAGTCAATTTTGATTCATAGTGACCCCATGTGACAGAGTAGAACTGCTAGTGACCCCATGTGACAGAATAGAACTGCCCCATAGGGTTTTGTAGGCTGTAATCTTTACAGGAGCAGATCACTAGGTCTTTCTCCCACCGAGAGGCTGGGTGGGTTCGTTTCAGTTAGCTGCCAAGCTCTTAACCATTGCACCACCAGGGCTCCTTTAGATGCCTGTAGTCAGTGCCTATATAAGGCAAGGCTCTGGGTCACTAAATATTTAGTATATTTTAGTAAAAATAAAAAGTATAATGTGGTAGATTGGTTGCTTCTATAATGGAGAATTTGAGGAAAGAAAAATGTGATTTGAAGGCTTTGAATTCACAGCTCAGTTTCTACATAAGGGATCTAAAATCACCCATTAAAAACCAAAAACCAAACTCATTGCCATCAAGTCAATTCTGACTCATAGCAACCCTATAGGACAGAGTAGAACTGCCCCATAGGATTTCCAAGGAGCAGCTGGTGGATTTGAACTTCTGGACCTTTTGGTTAGCATCTGAGCTCTTAACCACTGTGCTGCCAGGGCTCCTAAAATTACCCATTCCTTCCCTAAAAGAAATCCTTACCTCCTGTAGTTCCAAGGCTGAAATTTCTGGAAACCAAGCCCAAAGTCTAATCCTGTGAGTGGTTGAATTACAACACAAACTGAATTCCCAAACTCTGAGTCTCTTTGGTAAAGTTAGAGCATTGATTGAGAAGGAATGGGATCCTGAAAATTGGAATAGAGCATATGACGAAGCTGGGAAAGACACCCCTAAATTCCGCTGAGTTTTCTTTGCCAGTTGAATAAGCCCTTCCAACCCTACATGAGGAGTTAAGTTTCCTAAAGTTGCTAAACTCCTTTCCTGATGTAGTTACCTTGAAAAGCACTATTGATCCTCCTCAGTACCTACTCACATCACCTCTCTGATTATGCACCTGTAACTACACTGAAGTTCCAGAAGACCCCAAAGAGCAACGTATAAAGTGTGACCATGAAAAAGTATTGTACACACCAAAAGAATTGCACGATCTTGTCAACTGATATGGACAGTGACCTGGGGAATTTATGTGGGAATGGGTCTTAAGGGTTTAGTATCAAGGTGTAAGGAATATAAACTTGGACCAGGATGAATTTGTTGATATGGACCCACTAAGCAGAGATTCTGGATTGGATGTTTTAGCTAGAGGGGCTCAAAATGGCTCTAACAATCTGCTTGATTAGTTGACAGAAATATGAACCTAAAGATGGTCTACACCAAATGAAGTTGAAATGCCCAAACTACCTTGGTATACTGTAGAGGAAGGTATCCAAAAGCTTAGCAATGTTGGAATATTAGAGTGGATTTATGATGTAAGACTTACTATCCAACAAAGGAGGGTCTAGAGGACACACCTTTCATCACAGCTATGAGAAATAAACTTGTGAAGAGAGTCCTAGCATCCTTGAAGAGTTCTGTGGTTGTTCTTTTCTATAAGTTAGAAATTATAGTAGGAACTTTTTACCACAGAACTAGAATCCTTAAACACAATGGGGATGATTGGGTCCTGGGGTGGCAGGGGCCAAGTGTTAGCATTTAATTGGCAAATATAAGGTAGATGTGGTTACAGTAATGTACAACAGGGTCAAAGCACTAATCAGAACAGTCTGACTCACAGAGAACTTTGGTGTTGGCTAATAGATCACAGTGTTCCTAGAACTGAAATAGATAGGCAGCCTAATAAAGTCTTCCTTGATCTATATAAGCTGAAAATATCCAGGTCTAGTGAACAGAAGTCTGACCTGAATCATCAAAACAGAGAATCATTTGCATCTCAATAAATTTCCAGACTTGAGCCAGTTCACAGGCCCATTTTAAAAGGGGAAAATGGGTCCCTTGAGGAAGTATCATGCTACTCTGGGAAAAAATTGTAGTATTATTCTTTCTCCCAGCTTTCCCCAGTGGGACCTGTGGCCATATACCATGGTGACTGTGCATCAGAAAAGGAAAATAATCAGAATTTGGGGGGATTATTAGATACTGGCTATGAGTTGACACTAATTCATAGAGACCCTAAAATGCCACTCTGGACTACCAGACAGTGTAGGGGCTTATGGAGGTCAGGTACTCAATGGAGTTTTAGCTTATATTTGTCTCACAGTCATCCCAGTGCATCCTAGAACACACCCTGTGGTTATTTCTCTAGTTCCAGAATGCATAACTGAAATAGATATACTCAGCAACTGGCAGAATCCCCATGCTAGTTCTCTGGCCCATAGAGTGCTAGTCTGGTATGAAAGGCCAAGTAGGAGACAATAGAACTGCTTATGGCTGCAAAAATAGTAGATAAAAAAAGTAGATAAAATTCCTGGAAGGATTGCAGAGATTAGTGCCAGAGGTAATGATTCCTATCACATACTCATTCAACTCACCTATTTGGCTTGTGCAAAGGACGTATTGATCTTGAAGAATTACAGTGAGTTATAATAAAAAAAAATCAGGTGGTGACTCAAATTTTAGCTGCTGCTCCAGATATGGGTTCCTTGCTTGAGTAAATCAACACATATCCTAGCACCTGACATGCAGATACTGATCTGGCAAATTGTTTTTTTCTCTATTCCCATTGTTCAGCTAGCAAGTCCAACAATATGTCTTTACTGTCCCACTTGAGCCTGATACTGAATGCATCACTTCCGTTTGATGATGGAGTGCTACTGTGCACATGCAACTGTACGTTATTGGTGGGATCAAGACAACATCCAGTTTATGATAAGCATATCAAGTCACATGGTAACTTGTGGCCCCTGGTCAAGCATTC